TCTAATAGATTGTTGATAATGTTGAATGCAGACTCTGTAAGAGAAACTTGAGCGAGAATAGACTTTGTGTATCCAGTTGTTTTTGCATTATGAGTGTGCTTATCATTTTATTTGCTTTAGTGGCAAAATCGGTTCTCTTCTCTGTAAACTCATCCTCCCCTAGTGGAGGCTAAACTCTTTCAATTGCAATGCAATCGTAGTTTGACCAAAAAAAAAACCTGTTGGATAGTTGTGTCTTATAACATGTTTCAATAGTGTCCATTATATCCACTGTGAGTACAGACAGATCTGAGTTGCTTCGGTTGATGATTAGACTGAGCATTGATAAGAGGCATTGAAGCAGGAGCTGCAACCAGCAACGCACACGCATTTTGAATTGGATAATGTTCCTCTGGCTGTAGTCTTGAGTAAGAAGATTGTAGATTTTAGATAATTCCGGAATATTCTACTTCATAATAATGTGACTGTGAATTATAGAATATGACCCATTCAATTCAGCCAAAAACTTGGCATGATCTACTTTGGACTATGTGGCTTTAAAACAATCACAACGCTGAAAAGTAGTCACACAGTTTTTACCATCTAATTCATCCCATAATGTTTTCAAGATAGTGTAATATGTAGCTAGATCCTTTGATCCTTGTTGCAAAGACCATATCTGCTGAGAAAGTTGATATGATCATGGAAGATTCGTAATGTGAATCGTGTCAACAAATCTTTCCATATTTCGGCAACAACATTGAAACTGAGAATACTCGTGTAGATCTCTTTTGACACTGTGTTAAAAAGCCATGATTTGACTATCGAATTACATCTAGACAAGATTCGGTAGTGACGATGTGATTCATTAGGTCTTTCAAGTTCCATCAATGAAAGCTACTTTGTTCTTAGCATCCAAGGCAATGGTCATAGCTATACTTTAGTTATCATAGTTCGTACCATCTAACACTGTAGAGATGATGGAAAGACCTATCACCGCTTGTGAGAAATAATGGTGAATGAATGATATCCGAAGAGAGTTATGTTGATATCAGAGGTGTGTTCTAGTCAGGTGGCGTCGGAGCTGAGTTTTCTGGAATAGGAGCTCAACAAGCTGACGTTGACACATGTCTGCCTCCATAATGTAACGAGTTACGCTGAATCACCATCACCCGAGCTTAGACAATGATTTTGAATTGGATCTTAGTAGAATAACTAAATGTCATTGATTTCAGCTTGCTCTGGATGTGTTCTCAATGGTGGCACGTGGAGGTTGGTGACCCTAACTTCATCCCTTGCAAGGGTAAAGGGTTATGGTCCACTTCTCGTTTTGTATGGTCTTATTTTTTTTAGAATTTCAGGCTCCTAAGTGATAGTTGTTTCATTATTTCTGGATCCTTATGGAACAATGGTATGACTCGATTTGCTTCTACTGTGATGCATTATACTCACTTCCAAAATATAGTGAAAGCAATAAGGAGCTAAACTCCTTTGATTATTGGAGTTTAGAGCATGTATCTCTTGCTAAGAATGATGTTGCTGCGAACATTGCTATCAGCGTTATGCCAATTTTATCTAGCAACTAAAGGTCCTCGTTGGCTAGTAATCCACTATCCGAGCAGAGGCTGCCAATGGAGTCTCCATGACAGGCTGACGAAGATTCCCTGCTGGTTGTCAAACCTCTAACATATTTCCTTTGTTCATGCTTTGTTTTGGTACCTACTATATTTTTTATTTTTCTGTTTTTTGTTCCTCCCAATCCTCTGTTTATGAGATGTATGTTTTTAGGGAGGTGGTTTGTTTTTTTTTCTGAATTTCAGATTATGAAATATAATCAGTGTAAAAAAAACAAAACGTAACAGAAGATCAATCGAGAGAATCATTGATCAAACAAGGTCAAATGACAGAGAAAAGGAAAAATAATCGCTTGAAACTTTAACCTCAAGACTGTGATACCATGTTAGTGATAATGAAGTTATGATCGTAACTTACTTTATGTTATTTATGTTAGTGAAAACAGAGTACATATGATCACTTATACAGTGAATGTTATACCGGTTTATATAAACATAACTGGGACAATAACCACAGTAAACCGATATCTAATATACACTATTAGGTTTTGATAATATTACAAATCAAGGACGTGCAGGTTGGACCCTACGCTCAGAGAGTGGACAATGTTTGTTTAGGGACTACGGTCAAGCTGGTTTCTTTCGCACACCTTTGGAAGCCGAGGCAAAGAGTCTTCTGATGGCAATGCAGCACTCATGGAGTATGGGAGTTCAATCTATCATCTTCGAAGGCGACTGCAAAGTCTTAATTGATACAAATTGTGGAATTACAAGAAATGTCAACATTGAAAGTATTTTATCAGATATTATTCACTGGAACAAAAACTTCATGCGATCTACCTTCAGATTCACTAGGCGAACGAATAACGTTCCAACGCATTAACAGATGTTTTTTTACACTTCACCCATGTATCCACCACGGTGGCTAGAGAAACTCTTGTATAATGACTTTGTCATCTCAAATTAGTCAATAAAATAACTTCGCTGACGTAAAGTAGGATATATATATACGAATACGATAATACATCTATGTATTCCTCAGCTCGAACTTAATCTTCATATTTTCAGGATATTTTACCATATGTCATATAAAGATTTGCTTTTAAGTTCTATAAATAAAAGAAAAATAAGGTAAGCCTAATAGTAGTAATCAGGGAAGGGCGGGTAAATAGGATCAAATCGAAAATGCATGCTTGTGTCTGAAGCAGTGACTTCATTGTCATTTGTTAGTGTTCCTTTGTCTCGCTCAACCTTGAAAACCACATTTCAACAGAAAGAGATTCGCTAAGCAATCAATTTCAAGATTTTAATATTCTTTAATAAAGTCTTTTTTGGCTTTTTAATTCAAGTCACCACCCTGGCTTTCATCTCTCTCTCCGGTAACAAGAACCGTCGGAAAAGAAAATACCGGCCCATGGAGAGTGAGGCGTGGAAGGCACACGTGGCCATGGTCTGCGTGCAATTGTTCAACGGAGGTTATCACGTGATCACCAAAGTAGCGCTCAACGTCGGCGTAAACCAACTTGTCTTCTGCGTCTTTCGTGATCTCATCGCTCTCTCCATTCTTGCTCCTCTTGCTTATATCCGTGACAAGAAGACCAGACCTCCTTTGAACCGACGCTTTCTCTTAGCTTTCTTCTTCCTCGGCTTAACTGGGTACTTTCAAGTTTTCCTCTTTCTGTTATCTCCCTTGTTGTGAGATCATCATCAACACATATGCATGGTTGTTTTCGTGTGATTAGAATATTTGGCAACCAGCTTTTGTTCCTCGTTGGTCTCAATTACACCAATCCCACTTATGCTGCAGCCATTCAGCCATCTATTCCTGTTTTTACTTTCATCTTGGCTCTCATTATGGGGTAAATATTTGATTGGTCGGTCTCTCTCTCTCTATACTCTTGCAAGATCAGAGAATCAGAATCATCAATGTCCTCTCTTTTCCATTTTCGCTGTGTTGATGCAGCACAGAGAGATTGAATTTATTCAAGCTAGAAGGTCAAGCTAAGGTAGGAGGTACGCTGGTCTGTGTTGCTGGGGCGGTGTTGATGGTTTTGTTTCGCGGACCGGCTTTGTTTGGGGAAACAGAGCCTGAGTTCTTGGGTCATGGTGAAATAAGACACCCTGAAGCATCTGGACACTTCGTGTCTAGCTTTCTCTATGGACTTGGGAGATGGAACTTGGGAGTTTTGTGCTTGATTGGCAACTGCACTTGCATGGCTGCTTTTCTTGCTATTCAGGCATGTGCCATTCTGCTTCCAAACACTTCAGTTTCAGATATCTTTATTCTCTTTCAACTGACCCCACGTTGTATAATATATGATCAGGCTCCGGTCTTCAAGAAATATCCAGCTAATCTTTCAGTGACAGCATACTCGTATTTCTTTGGGACCATGTTAATGGTGACATCTGCTTTTTTCATGACCAATGAGTCAACTAACTGGAGTCTCACAAGATCCGAGTTCTTTGCAGTTGTCTACGCAGTAAGTTCCTCACACTATATGTTTGATGTATAGACTTCGTGACATATTAAGTTTTTACAAATCAGTAACTCTGCTGCTTCCTCCGCAGGGAGTAATCGCATCTGCCCTTAACTATGGTCTCTTGACGTGGTCAAATAAGATTTTGGGTCCTTCTTTGGTTGCTCTTTATAACCCTCTTCAACCTGCAGCCTCAGCCTTCTTGTCCCGAATCTTCCTAGGAAGCCCTATCTACTTGGGAAGGTTAAAACTCTCACTCATTTTTTTTTTCTTTTCGCTATTCTCCGCCATTGATGGGATGTCTCTGAAGTTGCCTAACCGACTCATTTTTTGTCGCTCTTAGCATTTTAGGCGGATGTGCAATCATCGCAGGCCTTTATAGTGTCACTTGGGCGTCTTACAAAGAAAAGAAAGCAGCAGCAGCAACAGGTACCATCCCGATCACCTCAAAGGAAGCTGAACCCTTGATCTACAAAGACCATAAGAACAAACCAAAGGGACATCTATTCACCAACATTCCCATCTCTTCACCAAAATCTGCTGACTGAACAAAAAAGTCCAACTTCTTGAAATAGCTTGAGCGTGCTACGATGTTTTCTTGATCTCCTTTTGCCGCACAAGTGACTATTATACTTCCCAAACAGTATATATATATATATAACATCGACATTTACATGTCTTGAGCATAACATAGTCTTGACTATCAGATTCATCATTTAGATGAAACAACTAGTGGTCTTTCACCTCGTTCGAGAGTCTTGTCACACACTGCATATAACTGGCGGCCATAGCGTTGAACCAGCTATACATTTTCTGCTTCTTTCACCAACCCATCCTTCCTGTACTACCAACCAGCATATCTCGTATCAACCCATTTGATTCAAACCCAAGCTTTATGGCATCCACATGCTGTCATTGTCCAAATCTCACCAACCCAAGAACAAGTCTTTAAGACACATGAAAACACTGGGACATTTTCCTTGAAGTCATCAACAAAAGGAGAGATACAGTTCAGAGAATTTAAGAGGTTTCCCAAATCTAAAATTTCTGGAGATTAAACTGAAGGAAAAGTTGAGAAAGTACCAAAGGAAATGGCAAGGATGAAATAAACAACATTCAGACAATTCTCCTTAGTCCTAAGATTTCCAAATGCAAGGGCTAAGATCTTCTCCGACCTTTCTACTATGATGTGATAAAACTTAACATGAGCAAGAAAAATGTTGTTTCGACTCTTCTTCATACATCTGAATCACCAGCTTCAGAATCGTCATCTTCTCTCCAAGACAGAACTGGATTGGGTGAAGATGACTCATATGATACTGACTGCAGAAAGTTGAAAAAAGCATATTTGATGTCGAACTGCATGTCATACCCTACAAAGTAGATGAGGTAGCAAATTAGAAGTAGGAGAGCCAATAAAAAAAAATAATTGTTTACCAGCTGTAGACTCACAGAGGATAAAAGCAAAATACAAATAGTCTTACAATAGTTGACAGCAATTGTATAGCCACCATCTCCTGGGGTTTGACTAACATGGTGAAACCACATGCTTGGCCTGCAATATCGAGATCAGTTACAGTTCCGGAACAACCAATTTATTCAAAACTCTATTCAAGAGAATGAGATTCTTACAGGTAAAGAATCTCCCCAGCCTTGAGAGTACAATGAAACGGCTTTGGGCCATCAAAGAAGAACGGATATTTCAGTCTCTCACTTGCTTCTCTCTCTGGTGAAGGGTATGGATCAACACTACACCATGGCACATGCCTCATTGGCTGCTCAAGCTCAAGCTTGAACGCTTCAGTATCCTACAAAAAATTCAAACTTTTTTTTTCATTTACCATTTTCCAATTGTAAACAAAATTGGAAGATTCTCACAGACTCGATGATAAGAGTAGTTAGCTGCTGGATATGGTCGCACATAGAGGCGGTGTACATCGGTGGGAGGAAGGAGAAGGAAATGTTTCTCCCCAGAAACGACGGCGTATAGATTCTCGTAGTGGTCTTTGTGGAAAGAAGTCACGGAGAGATCAGTGCCTACCCAAAGGTTCACCGCTTCGGGAGAACATCCCAGCGCCTCCGTAGCCCACGGGATATCTCCGTCGCAGTCCGAAGCAACGGTTGAATACTCCGTTCTGAAACAATCGTTCTGCTGCTGTAAATACCCAACAGTTTTTCCCTTGGATCGAACGGCCTGGAGAGCCTCCGGGAAGGGAAGCTTCTCCACGTGAGCGGAAGCGAAACAGAGACCTCCGGTGGTGCTCGTATCGTCGTTGATCGGAGTGACGGCGTCGGCGCAGCCGTTAGGAGTGAGGTGAAGTGAGACAGAGTGATTGGACAAAGCTCCGGAGAGGTAAGCCGGATCAGACCAGAGTGTGAGAGCCGGCCAGTGAGAAATTGCGTTGGAGATGACGCAAGGCTTGCTCTTAGAGACGTAATCTCGGAGAAAGTGTAGCGGAGACGGCGGAGAGTCAAGGCGATCGATTTCGGTTCCCAAGCTCAGCTCCCTCACTTCTCTCCACAATTTCTCTATCTCCTTCGCCATGGCAAAAAATGGCGGGATAATTTAGGGTAACCCTAATTTTATGTCTATTAGAAAAGGGTAAACAACTGTATGTTATAAAAAAAAGGGATGGATTGGGGGATTGAAATATATTGGAGAAGAAGAAAATGAGCTGCTCTTATCTATTTACTGGCGACGCTTCTGTCGCCTCGCGAAGGTGGAACGATGTTTCTTTCCGGCAGCAGCGTGTATTTCTCCCACAGCAATTTCACCGGCCACAGCTTGCGTCGCTTTCCCAGCTCCCCCGATTAGTCGCCACTGCTAATCAGAACTTTACTAGTCAATCGCTCGGGACCAGAAACTGCTTTCCTTTACTGCTTGCTGGAGGAGACAATGATAATGGAAATGGCTCCGGCGGAGACGGTGACGGAGATGGCGGTTGGTGGTTTAACGGTGGTGGTGATAATTCTGATGACCCTTTTAGATTATTCTGCTTTCTGTTCTTGGTCTTGTCCTGCTTCTTCCAGTTACAACTATCTGCTGCCTTCGCCATTGCTAAACCTCCAGAGTCGGAAAGTGAGAGAGACACGGTTTGGGAAGTAAGAGGAAGCAAAAGGAAGCGACTTGTCCCTGATTACGTCAGAGATGAGTTCGTCTCTGAAGAATCTTCCTTCGAATTATCATCTTCTTTGACTCCTGAGAATCTCGTGACCCAATTTAGAAACCTTCTGATTCAGTTCCTCCTCCCCGAAGGCTACCCCAACAGCGTCACCTCCGATTACCTTGACTACTCTCTCTGGAGAGGCGTTCAAGGAATCGCTAGCCAGATCAGCGGCGTTCTTGCCACTCAGGTATATTTTCTAAGCTTATCATCTCTCTTGTGGCATCCCATTTTCACGAGCACTTGTTGTTCATTTTTTTTTCTGGGGGTTAGTCTTTGCTTTATGCAGTTGGGTTGGGTAAAGGAGCGATCCCTACAGCTGCAGCGATCAATTGGGTGCTTAAAGATGGAATTGGGTATCTCAGTAAGATTATGTTATCCAAATACGGACGCCATTTCGATGTTCATCCCAAAGGATGGAGGTTATTTGCTGATCTTCTTGAAAACGCTGCTTTTGGTATGGAGATGCTTACACCACTCTTTCCTCAATTCTTTGTCATGATCGGTGCTGCTGCTGGTGCTGGCCGATCTGCTGCTGCTTTGATTCAGGTTCCCCTTGCATAGCTCAACTCCATCATTTGTGTCTAGTTTTTACCTAAACCAACTTTGGTTGAAACGTTTACTATCATTTACTTTTCTTCAGGCTGCTACTAAAAGTTGCTTTAATGCTGGCTTTGCTTCTCAAAGGAACTTTGCTGAGGTCTACTATCTTTTTTTTTATTTATATTATGCCTTTTTTAGAGTAGTGTATGCATCAACAGAGTCTTTTGTAGGTAATTGCCAAAGGTGAAGCTCAAGGAATGGTGAGCAAGTCAATGGGTATCCTTCTTGGAATAGTTGTTGCCAATAACATAGGAACCTCTACAAGTCTTGCACTTGCTGCATTTGGAGTTGTGACATCGATCCATATGTATACCAATTTCAAATCTTACCAATGCATCCAACTCCGTACGCTAAACCCATATCGTGCAAGTATGTCTCTCTCCTGCACCTAACCAGCCTCTTCATTCATTATTTCCTGAGAGCACGACAACCAACATCACTGGTTTACTGTACAGGTTTGGTTTTTAGTGAATATCTCATCAGCGGCCAAGCTCCTCTAGTCAAGGAGGTCAATGACGAAGAACCAGTCTTCCCAGCTGTTCGGTTCTTAAACATAAAATCTACGAAAAAGGTGAATGAAAACTCTTCTCCTTTTTATCAACCAGATTTAAATGCAAAACTTCCATGCCTGATTCTTGTTATCTGCTTTACTCAGCTGCAAGATTTCGTCCTATCATCAGAAGCAAAAACAGCAGCAGCAGACATAGAGGAACGGCTTCAACTAGGTTCAAAGCTCAGCGAGGTTATCCACAACAAGGAAGAAGCAATAGCACTCTTTGATCTGTATCGCGATGAAGGCTACATCCTCACAGAACACAAAGGGCGATTTTGTGTAAGCAATTGATATTAACCATTTTCACCACTATTGTTCCAGCTGAATCTCTCACCATTCTTATCTCCTATTGTAATTGTCAGGTGATGCTCAAGGAAAGCTCGTCGCCACAAGACATGCTCAGGTCGTTGTTTCAAGTGAACTACCTCTACTGGCTAGAGAAGAACGCTGGGATCGAAGCTACAAACACTTACTCAGACTGCAAACCGGGCGGTCGCCTTCACATTTCTTTAGATTACGTGCGAAGAGAGTTTGAATTGGCCAAAGAAGACAGTGAAACAGTGGGTTGGGTTACTGAAGGACTCATAGCTAGACCTCTACCGACCAGAATCCGTGTAGGTTATGATAGTGAACCCTCATCTTCTCCTTCTAGTTCATAAACCAGGGCCAGGGGACGATGTAGTGATCTTATTCTTGTGTTGGGTGTAGAATAGATACATTGTCTCTGTTCATCTGCCATTAATCTACTTCCCTCAAGTTTTTACACAATTTGTTATTTATCAGATCAAATCTAGTCATCTACAGTTATCTTTTGAAGGTTAATCACAGTAACATATAAACTCCAAAAGCAAAAAAAAACACAAAGAAAGGACAGAGATATTATGATTCTACTGAACAAAAGGGTAACGAGCAACGTAGAATTCTCTTACACGCGAAGCACCATCTCTAGCAAGTATGCCTTCGAGGTCTCCAATGATCCTAGCTAGCCAAATCTCGAGGTTTCTCTGAACTTGTTTCAAGTTGTTCTTGATCAAATCCATGGACCTTCTTGTGTTCATCTTGGCTAGGCTAAGTTGATCTCCTTGGTTGCTCCTTGTGATTTCAGTCTGCAATGCAACTAGCTTCTGCCCCGTCTCTGATGCTCGCTGCTGAAATCTGAAACATTCGAGCAGAAACTCTGTTTGCCTTTGTGTCCTGAACTCGGGTCCTAGTGTCGCATCGCAAGGATCACTACTCTGCTGGAAAAAATAAACATAGAGAGCAGAACAACGTTGGTGAGCTTTTGAGTAACTCAAGAATGTGTTACAAATGACAATAGTACCATTTTTCTGCATAGATCATCGATCTTCCCTGCAAGAGCTTGATACCTCTTTGCCTGTTTCCTCAACAAAGAAAGGACCTTTGAAATGTCACTAGTACAAACTTTCTCAAGATTTAGTAATTCCTCCTCTAGTAACCTCAACTTGGCAGAAACACCTGTTGCTTCACTATCTATCTTCCATGGTGATTCCCTTCTGTGGAATGAAAAGATAAAGGTTACAATGCTGATCATCACACAAAAAATTCAATTCAAAAATTTGTTACCTTGGCACAAATTGCTTCATATGGTACACAGATTCCAAAGATTCATACTGTACGTCCTGCAAACAGAACCAAAAACCCTAACTCTCTCTCTCTCTCTCTCTCAATCATCGAGACTCGGGAGTTATGTAATAAAAAAAAAAAAAAAAAAAACGAAACC